CAGGCCCTGGCACGGCTCCTTGCCACTGACCTGGCCTCACCTCTTAGAGCCATGGCCATGGGGCCAGGGGGCATCCTGGGCCCACGACAGGTCCAAGGACTGAAGGAAGGGACGAAGAACCTCTGCAGTTGGACAGGAGAAGCTGCGTGAATGTGGGGCTCGTCACATCCCGGGAACATGAGCATGGGGACAGTTGGTCAAGGTCATTCTTATGGCCAACAAGCATTGACGGAGCACCGTGTCCCGGTAGTGCAGAAACCGCTGAGGCGTCCAACGCTGCTTGAATAATACTGCGCTTCCACCCGCCTCCGGGCCTTTGCATGTGACCTTGCTGCCAGCCTCCCCTCTACTTCTGCTTCCTCAGTGCCCCTCCTTGTCTTCCTGAGGTTCAGCCCCACGTTTGATGACAGTCCAGAGAGGGGCAGCTCTTTGTTCGACCCCACACAGGGCTTGAGACCCGGCAGACCTTTCAGACTCAAACTCCCTGCCAAAGGAGTCAATGCTGTTCCTCGTGACCCTGGAGGGCAGAGCAGAGCTGCCCTGTGGGTTTCCAAGACAGTAAGCCTTTTTCTTTTCTTTTTAAGCCCCGGAGACGGTAACTCTTTGGGAGTAGAAAGCTTTGTCTTTCTCCGTCGGAGCAGCCAGTGGTTTCAAACTCCTGACCTTGGAGTGAGCCGCCAGTGTGTAACCACGATGCCACCAGGGCTCCTTGGCTGAACTTTAGGAGGCTTTTGTTGTTGTTGTTGTTGTCAATAAGGGACTGACATAACTGTTGAAGCTGTGTCCTCAGATGGGTTCGATGCTAGGTTTTAGGGAAGAGATTGAAGAGAGGCGACAGGGTCAGGCAGCCCTTTGCTGGGGCCTCTGCTGTGGGGCGGGGGCCACAGGCCTGTGGGCTCCCCCCCGTAAGACACTCTGATCCTGCGGCTGCCGCAGAAGCAAGGACTCTGGCCTCCGCGATGCCGTTGGCACCTGGGTAAGCCAAGGTACCGTGACCACCCATTCCCATGGCTGCAAAATGGGCTTCAGTTACCCATTTGCCTCCCCCACAACCCCCAACTCTGGAAGGCACCCGTGGTGCTTGGGACCCATATTCCATGCTGTGTGGTGGCTGTTGGCGCCCCCTGAGTCAGGGGATGTGACTCTCGGCCACCCCACCTGTGCAGCCTAGGACTCATCCAGAGGGTCTTTCAGGTGTGGCTCTTGGGAAGCAGATGGTCAGAGAGCAGACCGCTCTGGGCCTTCTCGGATGCCTCCCACCTCCCGGATGGACAGCGCGCCGAGCCTTCAGCGTGGTGCCCTCTGCCTGCCCTTTGTCCACTGCTCACAGCCGCCAAGGCCACAGACAGCTCCTTGTCTGGGTGAGGTTTCCTTCCTTGCTGGAAGGGCATTCTCTCCCTCCTGGGGTCTCCGAAGCCCTCGGCTGGGTTTCTTTCCTGCTGCCAGCCCCGTGCTGTTTTGGTTGGTTTACAAAGCTGTTTTATTGCAACGTAGGCCCGCGCCGCACACAGTTCGATAGTTCGTTCATATCAAGAAGAGTTGGACCGTCGTCGCCATCATCAATTTTAGAACAGCTTGTTCTTTCTAGTACTCCTTGTGATTAGCTCGCCTCTTCTCCCCAGCCCCTCTTGCTGGACGGACCCCCGAGGAACCACTAATCTAGTGACGGTTTCTATACATCCACCTCTCCTGGATTCCATATACCGAAAAACACACAGAAACCAAAAAAGCTGACAGCAATAACAAGATACGACAGAGAAAGACCTCCCTCGTAAAGAGAACTGAACATATTAAACACTAGACCAACTTCAAACTGGGTCCAAAGGGAGATCTGATGATAAGGTGTTGAATTTTAACCCAACAGTGCCTGCAATCATCCAGAGTCTCATGCGTTCTGCATGAGAGGCTGCTCACCTCCCTGGGTTATGTTCAGAGGGGATTCACCGGAGGCTGAATCCACACGTGTCTCCTGTCCACTGGTGTTTCTAAACTGAAACAACTTTTAAAAAAGGGAGATCAAATAAAAGCTTACATTTAAAAAAATCATTTTAAAGATCTTACATGTTAACGTAACTATACCTGCTATCATCGTCTCTACAAAGATCTCTGTCTGATAACCAGGCTATTCCTATCCCTCGCCAATGATCAGAGGAGATTCGCCAGATCAGTGGTCCTCAACCTTCCTCACGCCGCCACCCTTTCATACAGTTCCTCATGTGGTGGTGACCCCCAACCATAACATTATTTCCGTTGCTACTTCATCACTGTCATTTTACTCCTGTTATGAATCGGGCGACCCCTGTGAAAGGGTTCTTCGACCCCCCCAAAGGAGTCGTGACCCCCAGGTTGAGAACCACTGGGCCAGAGGCTAATCTATGGGTGTAGCTCCATGCTGTGGTGTCCTGTCCGCGTGGGCCTCTCTGGCAGCGGCCAAGCCCCCTGCCTACCATGGCCCTGCACACAGGAAGGGCACCCATGAATACGTGCCCTCCTGCACTATTGGATTCCTCAGGTCAGTCGGAGGTCCGAGTTCCTGGACCCGCAACTGCCCACCCAGGACCCGGGTTGAGCCCCTTGAATTCACGCATCTATGAAATGGGACCTTCACTTCTACAGGAGAGACTCCCTCTGGGGCAGCGTGAGACTGGGGAGTCAGAGAGCTTTCCCTCCACCCCCACGCCTGGGGAAACTGAGAAAGGAAGGGACCCACATGGGCCAGCAAGCAGGTGCCCACACTCAGCCCCCTGCCCGAAGCCTTGCCTCAGGCCTCCCTGAAGCCCTTGACTCCCATGCTGCCCCCAGGGCCTCGGAAACACTGAGTCACCTTGGAGCGAGGGACCTGGAATTTTCTTGGTGGCTTCCAGGAGGCTCCGGACTCCCAGATCTGAAGGGGAGGGATTCCTTGGGGTGTGGGCGAATGGGGGCAGGTCCCAGGCCTCAGCCCTGGGCGCTTGTCCTGGGACAGCTCCGCCGGGCCACCAAATGTGCCCCGAAGCACCAGGGCCTGGAGCCACAGAGGGCAGGGGCAGGGTTGGTGTTTCCCCAGCAGAGGCTTGGAGGGGCGCCTGGGTGAGGGTGAGCGAGAGGGTGGGCTGGTGTGTGGGCTGAGCGCAGCCCCACCCCCTCCCTTGTCCCCACCCCAAACCCTCCTAATGCAATCCAGCTGGCCCAGGCAGCACGCAGGGGCGGGCGGGAAGAGGGGGCAGGGCCGAGGGAGGGAGTGTGCAGGCACAAGTTTAGAGCAGGCAGTGGCCAGACCCATCTGCAGGGCCGGCTGTCCCGCAGCTCCACCTGCGGAGCTCCCAGCCTGTGCGAGGAGGTAAGTCCTTGCCCCTGGCTGACCAGCCCCGGGGCTCCCTGTCCTGAGAGGCCCTGAACAGTGGGACAGTGT